TTACTTTTAGTTTTCAAAGGTATGTTTGCTAAGTATAAAATTCAAAGAGAACAGATCTTTTCTTTCAGTCCTTTAATTAAGCTAGTTACTTATACCCTTGATCCTTTTTTTTCTTTCTAATGTGGAATAAGATGCTATTTAATTTTGTTCTTCCATAGCTAATATTTTTATGTACATGCTTTAATGATTTTTTTTTACAAGAAGTTTTGGACACTTTCATTTTTGTGCATCTTGGTATGATTGCATTTAAATGTCTTTGCAAAAGGTTCACTTTTCTTGGAAATGTGGTATTATAAGTTGAACTAAATTCAGAAATTTTAAATCTTTATTAAAAAATGCTTGAAACTATTGTTTGAAGCAAGGTACAATTCCCTATGATGAATGCTATCACTATGTACATATAAAATGTACCAATAAAAAAATTCAAGGAAAAAAATAAAAAATAAAAAATAAAATGACCTTCTGGGCTGGGGAGATAGCTCAGTAGAATAAGCATTTGCCTGGCAAGTGCAACATCCTGAGTTCAATCCCCAGTACCGCAAAAAAAAAAAAAAAAGATACAAAGGTAAGCAAAGGTAGGTTTGACACTGAATACTTTGGAAAAACTAACATAGCCTTATTTAAATTTTTGATTTGGGTTTGGGGATGATGAAAAGAAATTAGAGCACAAACTAAAAGGTCTAGAAGGCATCTATATTCATATTGTTTCACTAGTATCTAAATTTTCATTAAAATAACCAAAACCAGCCAGGTGTGGTTGGCAGATATGTGTAATTCCAGTACTTGGGAGGCTGAGGCAGGAAGAGCACTGCAAGTTCAAGGCCAGCCCAGGCTACATAGTGAGTTTAAGGCCAACCTGGTCTATAGTGTGAGACTCTCTCAAAAAAACAAAAAAAAAACAAAAACAAAAAAAAAACCCAACAACCAAAATAAATAAGCAAAACTAAAAGCCAAAATACCTCATTATGAGTGGGATTTAAGCAAGAAAGACAATTCAAAACTCCAAACATACCCACACACAAACAAAAGGCTTGGCCCTTTATCCAATGCAGACAAATGAATATATAGGTCCGAAGTTACCAAAAAACATACAACTTGCCTTATTTCTGCTTCTACTAACATTAACTGATCAACCACAGTCCCAAATGAGTTGCCTATGAGACCAGCAAGTAGCTCAGGGGACAGCCAGGGACAAATGGGCAAACCTGTAGGCAATGACCTTGGCTGTTCTCTGCAGTGACTTCTCTGACGTTGCTCTGGTGTCTGGAGACATGGGACAGCTCTCATCTTTTGTGACTTGTGCACTAGCATCATCTTTTCCTAAATTAGAAAGAGCAAGAAAGAGAGAAGAGGGGAGGAACCAGTTAGATGCACATCCATTAAGACAGGCTTTTCAATTCAGACTGGGAAGGTCCCTGGATACCCTGGACCCTCACTGTTCCCTCACAGAAGAGGAACACCCACAGAGGCTGGGGGCTTGGGGAGCCAGTCATGACCCACAGCTGGCGTTCTGCACACACTAAACCCCCACACATGCTACTAGCATACACTAAACATCATAAAAGAGGGCATCAATGATGCTGAATTAAGCTCAACTGTCCTTCAAAAAATGTCAAAAAAAACCCTAGAGGTTGATGTGGCCCAGCTGTATTAACTGCAGTAGAACAGAGATAGGTTAGTTTACTATGCACACCTGCTGAAATAAAACAAAATCAAAGTAAATGTAAACTTTTAGAAGTACTTTGGTACTAGCCATAACAAGCAAAATGGTGGAAAATAGATTTTATTTATTAAATAATATTCCTATCCTGATTTTCCTGGCTTGCCTTGGTATATAAAGAGTAAAATACTTAAAGGTCTTTCCATGTTAAATTATTTTCTTAAAAATCTTATAAAGTCCACATCCACCCAAGAAACTGAAGCATATCTGCCCTGGAAAGAGGCTGCCAGGCTCTGTACTGGAACTGTGAAAAAAGCAGCACATATATACCTCTGAACATTGAACATTTAAAATTTTAACTCTTTACATTGGATTTTCTCTACAAAATACTCTTGTCCAAGTAAACTGGAGATTCTGGACTCTAAGGGTCACTCCAGAGAGCTAAAAGGACAACACTTATCTGTTAGACACTTCCATGGTCAACATGAATAAATCCACCCTTTTCAAGACGGCTGACACAGTGAAGGGCCAGCTTCAAGCTGGATTCTCTCTTCCCAGGCCCACTTTGACACAAGTTGACATCTGGGGCTTCTGAGGATCAGATGTACACTTCTCCATCTACGCCTCACTCTACCACTGAAGAGCCCACTCAAAGCAGAATCTTCCCTATCCCTTTCATCCAAACAGAAATCCACACATTGTCCCACTGTAAATGACTTCTCCCTTAATAAATGAGGCACAATCATCTGAGTTCACCTTTTATTTTAGACCACAATTCAGGATTCAAAAATCGTCAGATGTTTCCAGAACACTTTTTACAAGGTTGGGGAGAGAGGAAAATAAAACACAAGGTGCTGATTTGTTTGTTCCATAGCACACCTTGCCAATGTGTTCTGCAGAATAAGGTAATTTAGGAAAGAAAGGAAGAGGAAATTACAAATACATGCTACTTCAATAGTGATATTTCAGTTTTTTTATCTCAAAGAAGATGGGAGTAAGGAGAATGTTTTTTCCATGGCAACCCAAGTAGTTTTTCTGGGATGGTCACTGATGACTCCATCTCAAAATGATTATGACTTCAGGTTCCAGCCTGACAACAGTGAGTCTTCTGTTGCAAAGGTTACACCAGGTCACTTAAGAACAGAGAGGGCAAGCGATGAAAGTGTGCCTACGCCTGATTCCCAGATATCACACCTGAACATGACCTTTCTAGATTCTATGTTTCTACAGTTATCCTGGCAAAAATAAGGCTTTGTTCAAAGTTACAGTGTAATAAATTAAACAGAAGTTTATAGGTGCGTAAGTGAGAATCACAGATGGTCAATGAATGTAAAGAAACACAATGCCAAGTTGGAAAGATGAATCACCTTAGTACGTTTCCAACAACTACGTATTGCCACACTGAAAAGCAGAGCAGTCAATTTAATGAGAATCTCCTGCATTGTTTAATCACAAGAACATTTATTCATTTATTCCATGTGTATGGATTGAGCACTGGGCATTGAAGATTCAGTTGTAACTGGAGGAAATACAATCTTGCCTCTTAGGGGAACATACAGGCTGATGTGGAAGTGTTGTCATATAAGTAATCACTCAATAAATGTAAAATCCTAAGTTGTGAATGCTAAGGAAGAGGCATCCTACGAAGGAGAAGCAAACGACATTGGTTTAGAGTAGAGGTCAAGAAGGGCAACTGAGACTGAGACAGAAGATGCTCTATGAATGAGTGATGTGGGGGATGGCACACAGAGTGGGGGATGGCACATGGCATGGGAAAGCAGGAAGCTCTTTGCACAACCAAGTCCAGGTAGAGGCCACAAGCCAAAGTGAGCAAGGCTAAGCAGTGCAAGAGATCAGAGATGCCGACACCAAGTCAGGTGGGGCTCCACAGTAAATAAGAATGCAGAATTTAAGCCTAGACGCAAAGGCAAGCTGCCTTTGTGCACACACAGCACAGCCCAAGACCAGAGCAGAGCAGGCTAAGTGAGTGTACAAGACCGAACAGAGTTGCTATGGGAGCCCAAGCATGAGAAGCAGAGCTGGCAACGCAGCACTGGAGACAGGATGAAGGCATGTTCTGCAGGTGAGCTGGAAAACAGGCGGTGATTAGATTGAGAGCTGAAGAGATAAGAGATATGGAGGTTTTAAGAAAGGAGAAATGAGGGTCAGGGAGATGGCTCAGTGGAATAAGCGCTTCCCTGGGAAGCGCAAGAGCCTGAAGTTCAATCCCCGGTCCCGCAAAAAAAAAAAAAAGAAAGAAAGGAGAAGTGAGAGGTTTCCTAGCACATGCAGTAAGGCTGATGTTTCAGAGGTGGCCATGTATGAAACCCACCTGTGCGACCTTGAAGGGATAATGGGCACAGAGGACAACACAAAGGTCTGGCGTTAAGACCTGGCAGTGGCTTTGAACACAACGTATATGCTGTGGGTGCTTCTGCACACACACTGGAACATAGAGCCTCAGAACCAAGTCTGTTCAGTTATGAATCCACAAAGCTCTTCGACTGCTCCACACCCTGTGTGCAAGGAAGCAGCACTGTGCTGGCCTGCTCAGGAAGGAAAGAAAGGCCTCTCAGGAAATGGCAGGGGCTTGGAGAACGTGCAGATGTTCAAACAGAAAAAGGAATGCCATGGGGCCTTCTGGGCACAGGCCAGGACTTGTAGTGGGGCTGGGATGGAAAAGGCCTAGGAAGAGATTTATTGTAGCTACCAACAGGCTGCACCCCAAGTGCGGGGTGGGAGGGGCTGGGAAGAGGAGGAATGGGCTGGCAGGAGGGTGACAACCTTGGTCAGGGTGCAGATTACTCAGTCTCTACTGCCTAGTAATAAGAACCTCAAGGCAGCAACCCCAATATAGCCTGCTCAAAAGACCACATCCTTTATGGCTTTCTTGCAACTATACATGGTTGACATGTCTGTCTGGGCCAGTAAGATTCGGGGAAAGTACTGTTAGTAAATCCAAGAAGCATTCTCAAGGGCAGAGATCCAAGCTGGGTGCAGTGGCACAAACCTGCAACCTCAGCCTTGGGGAGACCAAGACAGAAAGATCATGAATTTGAGCCAATTCTGAGCAATATACAGAGTCCCTGTCTCAAAATGAAAATTTAAGAGAGGACTGATGATGTAACATAGTGGTAAGATACCTCTGGGTTCAATCTCCAATCTCCAGTAACAAACAAACTCACTGACTCACTTCTTCCTCCCTGCTGGCCGGAATACAGATGTGACACCTGGACCTCAAGCACTGATGTTGGCTTTAGAGGCCACCACACAAGGGTGTTTTTCTACCCTAAGAAGAGCAAGACAGAACAGCTGAACATGCGGAGCTTCCAGACAAGCTCTGGCCCGCCTGCCTCTGGTCTCCTTTTGTGTGTGAGGGAAGCAAACTTCTTTCCTACTTAAGCCACTGATATTTTAGGATTTAATGCTATTCTGGGCAGAACACACTTCCTAAAGCATATGTCCTCCAGACAAGGAGACCGACAAGCTCAGGCACTATCCCACAAAGCATTATCATACATAGCAATGGATTTAGTAGCACTGGGGTGGAGAAAGACAACAAGAACAGTGGTCTTAGAGAGCAGGGTTAAAGGCTGGGGTGCGGGTTTTAGATTCACCCCTCACTGCTAGCGCTGCAGGTGGTCAGATACGACTTCCGCACATTTCCAGGAAGGGTACTGCCAAGACTCTCATCATCACTCTTAATGATATAGCATAAAATGTGCTTAAATAAATGAATTTTTGCTGGACTCTCAGGAATAATGCTTTGATTAAAAACTCCAGAGTGAACTACAAAACTGAGGCAAGGTTGCCAGTGGTCCTCACCAAGGAAGAAGTTGTATGTTCCACAGCCTTTGTTTTTGCCATAATGAAAACAGAGCTACCAAGCTCTGGTATCCTTGCTAGTTGAAATACTTCTAGAAGTCCATAACTGTTTAAAAGAGAATGTTCTTTTTTTAAAAGAGAAATTCTTTTTAAAAAAAAAATATATATATATATATATAGCTAGGAAGACTTGTCTTATGACAAGTCTTATGAGCTCCTCTTCCCAATGAAACGGAGAATAGGCAAGACAAATTCTCATGGGCTAGAGCCATGGTCATTGCAAATATTGTGTTCCAGGCTGGTAAGGCATGAGCCCTGCCAACCATGCCAAGGCCAAGAGTCAGCAGGGACAATCTTCAAGGTACCAATGAATTCTCTTCTTCACAAAGTCTCCAATCCTGGAAGTTGCTCACCCTAAAATAAGGCGATACAAGTTTCGCCGCATGTTCACCTACATCACTTCATTTGAGTTGCACCACAATGTCACATCATGGGCACCATGGTACTGAAATTCCAGTTTCACCAAGGAAATAGGGATGACGAGGTGAAACAGGGACAACAGCATGCAGGGATGCTTGCTGACCCTTGACCATGGTGACCTGTTCTCCACACAAGCAAGAATTAAAAAGGGTGGAAGGGTCAAGAACAACCTGTGTCTGGGAACTAGAGAAGCAGCCATAGGACTCCCTAAAATGCTCTGCCAGTGATGGTCTCACTTACCACAGAAAGTCAGGCACTGCAAATGACCCTGAGCCCTTGGGAGTTCCTCTGCTAGAAGGGAAGCAAAGCAGCAGCCAACACCTGATGCTGGTGGCTGCTGGCAAGTGGCGCGCCC